CTCGCTTTCACTTTCCTTGCTCGAAATTTTATCAGATGAATAACGCAAGGATACGAAAGGTCTAAAGGTCTAAAGGACGGAATCGAAGAAAGAACAGGTGCAAAGAGGAAACAAGTTCATCGAACATTGAAGTTCCATTTCAGCATGTTCAGCTCCTGTGCCCAGGAGCAAACTTCGAACTTGATGATGTGGAGCGATAACGATGTTCTGAATGACTTCAACACAGCAGACTATCGGTCCTTAGACAGCATCAACTCGATCACCCAGCTTGCATCCTCGAAATGCTGAGGACATACTGCCCTGCGTTGGTGCAGCGTGCTATGTCCACCTACAGGACTGTCAGATTACTTTTAGTGACTTTAGTGTTTGGGCCTTCGTGCCGAGCGCTAGAAGGTGGCGGGGAACTTCGATGTCGTTTCGCTGTTCGACTCCATCCTGAAATGAGAGCGGTCAAGAGGTAAAAAGCTTTTGAGGGCTCCTTTTTAAGGCACCCTTCCCTTCTTTTTGTTTGTCCTCTTCACTTCTCGCAGAGCCGGTGAGCCATGCGAATGATTTGCAGACGATGCGTTGTGGCTGGCATGTGGTTTCACGGGAGGATGTACCAGCGGCAGCTGTGGGATCCCAATTGTGGAGGCTTCCCAGAGTTACAATAGAAACCAGCGAATGAATGAAATGCTGAAGGGAAATGGTGTCCGGATTTGATAGATTACTGTTACAGAAAAAACTCTTGCAAGGAGATTACTTTTCCCCAAAAGTCTACTCCCCGCGCTAAGCCGGGGGAGAGTTTCCTTAAGAAGCGTGAGCTATCCTGCGTCCAGTTTCTGGAAGCTAACTTAGCCTAGTAGCTTACCTGCGGCGCCAACAAAGAATTCTCGGCAAGAAGATTATTTAACCCCCGGCTGTATCGGGAGTAACAAGCCGGCTGTGCGAGGCATCGAAGATCAGAAAGAGGTGGAGGAGTGGCACTTCCACAAGCCGTGCACTCAGGAGTGTGCAGTCTTGTATGTATGCTCGACTTTCATTTCGAAAAAGTGGTAGGTATGGTGCCATTGGCATTTTCATGCTGGACCTTCGCGGCAACAGGACCCGTGAGCGCTGCAATAGCAAGGCTGTACGGCCAAAGAGGCGATGTGCTGTGGATAGAAAAGCACACAAATTCGGCTACTAGATGTACATATATATATATATATGTAATATGTATATATATATATATCTATATCAGACAACTTGAAACATGAAGGTCTGAGGCATGAAAAGGTCTTAGGAGCTTCTAGGACCTCTAAGTCTTACCTGGGGCAAGACATGTGGCAGCAAACGGCAAAGCTTGTGGCTGCCACCATGTCATATTAATTGCACAAGGCGTGGTTGATTGAGTTCATGGGCGCGACGGTAGAGTCTGTCCAGGTAGAGTATGTCCACGTCGAGCTGTCGTACCAATATGTTCCACTTTTGCACAACGAAACACTGTAAGAACTCAGCAACTGGACCATTAGCGATGGCCTCCACCCAAGTAGCGATGGCCTCCAACCTAATACTAGCTATGGCCTCCAACCTAGTAGCGATGGCCTCCGACCTAATGGAGAACTCAGCAACTGGACCATCGGTGTTTATGTCTTTGCACCACCTGCGACACCAAGGCATTTGCATTCGCAACAGTTTCTGGATTGTCGTCCAGATCTGCTGCACAGATTTACACTAAAATAGGCGTGTAGGATGGGGGTCTGCAGCTGTATACACAATATAGATACTGTAGATAGACAGACCGATCTTTGTATATTGTATATATACACACTACATACATTATCGTGGCATTGACAAGTGGGCCCTTTTTCAGGATTGATCCAGCTGGCACACGACGATCTGGCTCGCTGATCTCCAAAAAGCAGCAAAACGCGCTTGAGCGAGCATTCCAAGAGCCAGACTTGATGCACAGCCGCAACTAGGACGCTACTAGGGGCAAAGGGCATCGCTACTAGGAGCAAGAACGCTACTAGGAGTTCCTTTTTTTTCCAGACTTGAATTTACGCCTTGTCGGGCCTTTCGCCTTGGAACGTGTTCAAGCTGAAGCCCGTCGTTGTAAACCGAGGAGGTTCATGCTATTATGCTCAGAAGTTCCATTCGTGTGGGAAAGGCCCGAAATCATCCGCGAAAAGGCAGCTCGCCTGGGATTCTTGAAGGATCACTGGCCTTACAATCTCGAAGCGACTTGGCGATGACATACAGCTGAAAAACATCTTTGTGTCGCTTTGCAAAGCCCTTTGACTCTCCTCAAGTAATTAAGCAATGTTAAGCACATTTGGATCATATGAATGACATGCAAGGAATTGACTTGGCTGCTCGATCTTTGCTTCAAGTGGAAGGAGCAAGTTTTGTCGGTTGTGTGAAACACGACAACAGCAGCCGTTTTCGCTCTCGTGACGTCTGACAGGCGGCATCTGCTGCAAGGGATGTGCTACTTCTAGGTGGGAACAAACGGACTACTGTATCTTTTGCTTTGGCAGGCCATCAATAAAAAGATCAGGGACCATTCTCCAAGAGTTTGAACGGTTTGGTTCAGTGTTTTCTTCAGGTGTCTTCAGAACACAGATTCTGAAGGGTTGACATGGTGTTTTGTGTTGGCATTCTTCGGCCAGACATGTGAACTTAGGCACCGTTCCTTTTTGCTTTACCGTTCTTCCTGATACTGATGGTTGTATCTTCAGTATCACAACGCCAGGTGGGGATCTGCATGTTTCGATCTACTCAGTGTCTTGGAGACAACAGAACAGATGGCTTATGAGCTTACAGCAGTGTCATGCCAGCTGTAGACTGAATCACTAAGGTCATTTACGACAAAGTCCTGGAGAACAGCATACGGCGCGGTTCCAAGGATCTCGACAATGCTTGACACTGTCAAAAACTGCAGCGGCAAAGCACTGTGGTTCACTGTACTGTTTAAGTTTGTTTCAGTGCTTGCAGTTGGTTGTCATGTTTGGTGGTGAAACTCCTGATCGAACGTAGTTGATTCCTGTAATTGCCAGTCGAGTGCTGTGACAGAAGTGAGTTACATATATAACTTGGGTAGAAGAGTTGTTATCAAACATGCGATGCCCCTCCAACTGCTTTCAAGCGAAGAACCTTTTCATGCTGGCCCTTGTTTTGTACTTTGGCCAGAACAGACCTTTCAGGAGCCCCTAGTAGCTTCTTGTTCCTAGTAGCGATGCCCTTTGCTCCTAGTAGAGTCCTCTGGGCTTAAGAACCCCTTCCTCCACTTCGTTGAAGAGGACAGGTTGGACAGGCGCAGCCCCCTTCGAGTGCTGGTGGCTTTCGAACTTCGCCTCAGCGCCCAAAAGCTGGGTCACTCCTTTACCATGTCACTCCTTTAGTTAATAACAAGTGCATCGCTACTACTAACAAAGGGAATTACTACTAGCAGCAAGAAGCTTAGTAGCTATTTGCTACCAGTAGCAATGCACTTTAGCTTATTCTTCTCATCACCCATGTTCTATTCTCGCGGCCAGGGAGGAAATCCAGTTGTGTCACCCGCTTTGATTGCTGCCTTGAAATCGATTTAAGTTTATATAAGCTTGCCTTGGATTTGTTTTTTTCTGGTTGAGGTGCTTGACCACCAGTCCAGTCTCCAACACTGTGGCCCGCTTTTATGCAAACCAGGAAGGAGAGATCAACAGCAGACGCTCAGGTGGCTTAAGTGGCTTACTTCTTTTGCGCAAGATTTCCGGTGTTAGAGCTACTAGTAGTAATGCTTTTGTTTCTAGTAGCGATGCCCTTGTTGCTATCTTGTTAGTGGTAGTGTTTTGAACCTGTGACTGCGCCTGACTGGCTGGTTCCCGTCGACACCCAAGGATTTGCATACCGCCATGAGCCCGTCCTGGGGATGCAGGCAGCTTATGTGTCATTTGCCACCAACCTCAGCCATAGACGATTAAGAAGCAGAAACAGTGACCTGAAAATTCTTTGGAAACAGAACTAGAGGTTGTTTGTTTGAGAAACTTTGGTGGGATGACCTTAGCTGAACAACCAGTTCTTCCAATGGAAGCAAGATTGGGCTTCGCGTGGGAAACGTTTGATCTCTGAACTGGGAGCATGTTTTCGCCACTCTCATCTCCTGTTTTCAATGGCCTCCAACCTAGGAGCAAGGACGCTACTAGGGGCTCCTGGCATCGCTACTAGGAGCAAGGACGCTACTAGGGGCTCCTGGCCTTACTACTAGGAGCAAGGACGCTACTAGGGGCTCCTGGCATCGCTACTAGGAGCAAGGACGCTACTAGGGGCTCCTGGCCTTACTACTAGGAGCAAGGACGCTACTAGGGGCTCGTGGCATCGCTACTAGGAACAAGTACGCTACTATATATATAATAGCGATGGCCTCATCTCCTCTCATCTCCTCTCTCGCAGACCTTTTGCAAGATTGATATCAGCCTGACGAAGGACTCCTGCGAGGTCAAGGCAAAAGCAGCGGTGTCTTGTTTTTTCATCTCAGATAATAACAGATTGTAAAAGGCTCCCTTATTGTCATTGCTTTATCTCATGAAACCAACCTTTTGAATACATCAATTGTAACTTTTTTTGCTCTACACAGACCCATCAGGCAGAGCTTGTGACCAACGCGGGAACAAGAATGCCTCCACCCCTTCTTCGGAAGGTTCACACATGGCTTTAGATTCTAGAAATCTTGGCTTAGCACTTTTTGAAGAGATCAATCGGCACCAAGCAGACACTGTCGGAGGTAGGAGAGATACAGAGGTCGCCAAAGTGCGGGCTTCGAGGATTTTGATTGCGCACGGAAAGACCTGTGCTGGATTGACCCTGCGAAGCAGGTAAAGAAAGCGCAGAATCCGACATTTCTCAAATTGTGCTGAAGAATCTGGATGGTCACCAGAGCGAAATAGAATGAAATAGACATCCGTCACACATCCGTCATACAGCAAACATGTCACGTCTCACAAGTTGACACGTCTCATAGGGTTTCGTTTTGAAGCAGAAGGATTCACAATTCCAAGGTTCAGTCCATCTCCGTTTTGGAGGAGTTGGTGCTTTGCCCAATTTGTATGCAACCCATCTACAAGTGCGTGGCTTGAAACTCAGTGCGCTGTTGAGCCGCAGCCAGAAAGCTAGGAGAATGCTCGGAGCTTCTTGGCCTCCAACCTAAGAGCGGCCTCCAACCTGGAGCTTCTTTCTTTGGATACCACTGTTTGCTGTCGTTTCCTGTGGTCTTGAGATGTCTTGAGGCACTCATGCCTTGTTCACATAGCTTCTGTATGTCCTGCTGCTCCGATTGGATCCGCTCGGGAACCAAACCATTAGCGCGAGCTATCTTGCGTCCTGTAGATAGTAGCTTACTTGCAGCTAGTAGCTACCTCTCCCCTACTTGCTTAAAAACATTTTCCAAGGTCGTGATGCGGAGTCAGCGCAATGCCCATTGTGCCGGCGAAGAATCACGGCCGTCACTGGACGAATGTTCACGGTGCCAAAGAATCACGGTGCCAAAGTACAGAAAATAGGATGTGTTGAAGTACACTATATGTTCAATATGGCTCAAGTATGTTCATGCGCTTAAGCTAAGCTTCGTTCTTGGCCAAATCAGGTCATGAAGAATCACCCAATGGACTCAGTCGTGGAGGCGATGCTTTACCAACCTTTGGTCTTAGACATTGAATACTTGCTACTAGTAGCTGTATCCACCGGCGCCAGTCTTCTCATAGTTTTTGGGATGCACAACCGGCAATAGCAGTGACCAGCATGGAACTGTATCAATGGCAAGAACATTTTTGGCTTTCATCATCGGGCTTTGCCAGGCCTATCTTGTTGCACGGCCAGACCGGCGCCGCCCAAAAGAAGAGTTGCTGGACATGGACAGCCGAGACAAGCTCAGGCAGAAAGAGAGAGGATCCAACTAAACAGGATTGTTGTTATATATATATATATTTGGATATGCTCAAACATACATATATATTGTGAATTTCGAACCTTTCGGTCACTGAGGAACCAGTCTTGACCCACTCAGGTGTGTTCACGTCCGAAGCCACGAGTGTGCGAGGCCGCAAGGGTGGTGTAGGGTGGGTCACCCGTGACCTGAGCCATAGAAGCAGTGAGGACACTGCAGGGCGAGGCGCCCGACCGTTCGTACCAACCTTCAGGTGAGCTGTGAGTGGAAAACGCACGCGGCTGTGCGAGGGGAGGAGGATCTTTTGTTGCTACCTTTGTGTCCATCACATTGGTAGCGGAGCTACCGCTAAAGCTCCAGACAACACCTGACCCTTGTGCTTGGTTGTTGTTGACTGCGTGGTTGAGTCGGTGAATACGTTGTTTGGCCGCAAGGCAGTCGACAGGTTGCACATTGTCTTGGTGGTGTTGTCACAGAGTTGTTGAGCTGCGGCTTCCAGGGAGGAAACAGCCCAATGCCACCGGAAGGTGATTCAGCTGGCTCCAGTTCCTCCACAGGAGGTTTGAGCAATCTCCCATGGAGCCAGGTTCCATCTTTCAAGCCTGGTGAGACGGACCTCACTGAATGGTCACGGAAAGTAGAGTTCCTGGCATCACTATGGCCTCCAGAGCAACTACACCTGCTTGCCCCACGAGTTGCATTGCAATGTGAGGGATCAGCCTTTCAGAGAGTTGCCAGACTGGACCCAAAGAAGCTGCGTGTTGGAAACTTGGAGGGAGTGAAGGCCATCGTGGAGGCCCTTGGAGGGATTTGGGGAAAATCCCGATTGGAGGACAAGTTTGAAAGGTTTGAGCGTGCAATCTACAGCACAGTCCAAAGAGCCGACGAGACCCATGAGAGCTATCTAGCTCGGCGCGATCATCAATTCGAAGAGTTGCTGAGCATGAAGGTCGGCATGGATGAGTTTCGTGCATACATCTTGCTTCGCAACTCAGCCCTGAGCTCAGAAGACAAGAAGAGACTGATTGTTGAATCGCAGGGTTCACTGGAGTACAGAGAGGTGGTATCCAATCTGACGCTCCTGGGGAGTCGATTCTTCCATGAGGTCCACTCCAGCGGAAAGCAGAACAATCCAAGGACCAAAACCTATGAGGCCAATGCGTTCATTGCCCAAGAAGCTGATGGTCACGACCAAGCACCCGACGAGCCCACCTACAATCTCGATGATTGGGCCGAGGAAGAATGGATTGAGAGTCTTGCAAATGATGGTGACGAGGACGCCGCCATGATCATGGAGTATGAACCCACAATGTTGGATGCAGTGCAAGACAACGAAGATCTAGCATTGACGCAATCATCATACATGGATGCCCGTCGCCGCCTGTCAGAGCGCTTCAAAAGCCGTGGGTTCTGGCCAACAAGTCAGAACAAAGGCAAAGGAAAGGGAACCTCAAAGTTTTCTGGCAATAGAAAGAGCCTCCAGCAGAGGATCATGGAGAGCAGCTGCAGGATTTGTGGCCGAAAAGGCCATTGGAAGGCTGAATGCCCGCAACGTGGACCTCAGTCGGTCCCATCGACAGCTGTTGCTCCTACACTGGTGACAGTGAATGATGAGCAGGACGCGCTGCCACTGGAGTTCATGGATTTGCCAGAGCTGACCAAAGAGACGCTCAACGCCACTCAAGAGAATACGAAACAAGTTTTGTGTGTTTGTGAATCAAGGGACACCGGTGTTCTGAGGGGTTTGTGGGAGACCAATGAAGGGGAAATCATTGATTTAGCCCACAAAGGGGAAATGATCACCGAGTGTGAGAATTTTGATGTCAGGACTAGCTTGCCAGAGAGTGCGTTTGCTAGCACCGCCCAATCACCTGAAGCCAAGTCGATGCATGACACCGAAGCCAGTGCATTCTCGAGCTTTTCAACTCGCGATGCCCTGGGAATCGTAGATACAGGTGCTACTAAGACCGTCATAGGAAGCGGTTTCGTAGCCAATCTCCTAGCCGCACTAAGGCCAGAGGTTCGGAAGCGGGTCCAAAGGTGTCGTTGTTCAGTGGTTTTTCGGTTTGGGAATCAAGGGACACTTGAAAGCAAGCATGCGCTCGTTGTCCCAATCGGACCGCTGAAGCTCAAGATTGCCATAGTGCCAGGCCATACACCTTTCCTGCTGTCGAATACTCTGCTCCGAGCCATCGGAGCCACCGTAGATATAGCTGGTGAAGTGATCAAAAGCACTCTCTTGAAGCGCAATATTCCAATTCAGCTGAATGTCAAGGGTTTGTTTTTAGTTGATCTAAATGATCTGATCACACCCACCAGTCAAGATGCCGAAGCTGAACCTGCCGAGACCTTCGCCACTTTGAATTGCAAAAGCTTGCCAAGTGTCTCTGTCCAGAAGCCTGGGCAAGCGCAGTCGGAAACCAAGACCATGATGAAACAGAACGTTCAGGTGAGGACAGGTCTTGTAACAAGCAGAATCCAACAGTTCGAAGCCGCCATGCCCGAATCAACAAAGACCCATACGAACACAAAGAAACCAAACGAACGTCCGAGTGTTCGCGGGGGTGAGAAAGTCTCATTCGAATCGGTTGCAGGGGGGGGTCCAGCCCGGTGTCATCCGTTTTGGGTTCAAGACCGGATCTGTGCAATCACACACGTGTGATCGTCCCATTCGGTCACCTGTGCCGCATCACTATCATGCCGACCTCCGAAGCAGCCGCTCTGAGTGCCCGCTTGGCACGTGTCATGGGGGAAGCAAAGAAGGGAGAAGCCCTCGATCAGCTCGAAGCCTTCAAGCTCCTATCACTGGACGAAACGGGCCAAGCCAAGATCGATTTCGGATCAGCCCATCTCGGTCGGACCTACTCGGAGATATGGGAAAAGGAGGGCAAGTATGTGAAGTGGTTCCAGGCAAGTTACCACTCGTCGAACAAGGTCAACCATCAGAAGTTCATCCACTACATCTCACTGAGGGTGACCTATGCCGAGCACCAACTGGGTCTGAACAGTCAAGACCTGCAGCCATCACCAAGTCAGAGGCCACTTCATCCGGCTCTCAAGAGCAAGGCCAAGGCCAAGCCGATTCAGGAAGTGACCCCGCAGGACTTGGCAGATCTTGCCGAGGACGAATCCCGGGAACCAGTTCAGGAGATCGAGATCCAGCCAGAGATCTACGCGGAGATGGCAGCCATGGACACCCGCCTTCAGACCATCGAAGGTGCGATGCAGGAGATCATTGCCCACCTCCGGGCTTCATGAGCTCGTCGTGGCTAGACTCCTTCGAGGAAGCTGATATACATGTATCGTCCATGTGCCAAAAAGATGTCAGTCCAGGTAAGACTCACAGTCTGTCCCATAAATTCCACGCACTGGTTCAGCAAATCTCAAAGGAAGCCAGTCTAGCAAGGTGTGATCCAGTGATCTCGAACGGATGCAGCCGTCTACATGTGCTGGAAGTGTTTTGTCATGAGGCCAGTGAACTGACGAAGCAAGTCCAATTGCTGGGCGGCAGAGCCAACCGTTTTGGAAGGGCGCAGGGGGACCTCAAAACCAAGGAGGGGAGAAGTGTTCTGTTTCAAATGGTGTGGAAACAAAGACCCCGTCACATATGGTTCAGTCCCACCTGTGGACCATGGAGCGCATGGAACACGTTCAATGAAATGAGATCAATCCAATTGTGTGAACATGTTCAACGAGAGAGCGAGTCACACTTGTTCGAACTTGCACTAGGAGTAGTCTTGCTTCGCATGTCACGTCAGCTAGGAAACCACATGCACTGGGAGCAGCCACGAAAATCCATCATGTTCAAGACCCCACTCCTGCAAGAGCTGTGATCATATACTCAGGAAGCCAATTTCGACATGTGTCGCGTAGGCGAGTTGACATGTCCAGAAACGAACAAACTCATACAAAAGGAGATGGCTGTAAGAACGACATCGCAAGAGATGTATGCCTCGTTGCATGGCCGGGTGTGTCGTCGAGATCATGAGCACAGACCCATTGCCGGATCCGTGACAACGCCTCTCGGGAGAATCACCGTCAGTAGCTATACAGAGAACTATCCAAGAAAGTTTGCAAGACAAGTAGCTAAGGTGATGTTGAAAGTGAAACATGAGCAATGGGTTACTGCCTTGTAACCAGAGGAATAGATCAACCGAGTGAGGAAAGTGCATCCAAGCGGATCCGTGTGAGTTCTGCCATGCAGAAGTCCCAAGGTGGGCGACTGCCACCAACACCCCTGGAGCAATTGTCGAACGAGTGCAAGCGCCGCCGCATCGACGGCAAGACGGCCGAATCGCAGAGTATGAACATGTCACCTCAGAGACAACTAGAAGAAATCATCAAGGACATCCAACCAATGTTGCCAAGAGTAGGGAAGACTTTTATCACAAACCACCAAATTTTGGAGAGGCTTCAAAACATGTTCCCCGAAAAAGAAATCAAGAAAGTTCAAGCATGTAAGGGATCAGATCGAACATTGCCACCGCCAAGGGATTTGGTAAAGAATGAGGCCCCATATCGTCGTGCCATCATCGTAAGCCGAATAGGGGGGGTAATCCAAGTAGAAAAGGACTGGGAATACTGGCAAGACCTGTCTCATCGGCAGCAAGTCCGCCCAGCACATCCCGCAAGAGTCAATATCACAATGTACGCATGTTTGCCCCAATCCAAGTCAGAAGCATCAGGTGATTCGACCGAACAGAATATGAGTCCCGAGGCAACGGGAACAAGCATCGAGCCGCAGGAGGCAACCGTCAGCCTGCCAAGTAGTGACCAAGCACCTGTCACAGAGCTGGATCCGGATCAGACCAAAGAGACAGGAGCGAGTTCGAGTCAACTCCATATGCCGAGCTTTGACCATGGCCCAAAGTTCAAGAACATATCAGCTGAAGAAAAATCGTTCTTGCTGAAATTGCATCAGAACCTAGGACACCCTCATGGTCAAAAGCTGTGTTCAATGCTGCGTCAACAGGGGTACTCACCCCGATTGTGTCAAGCTGCCATGGACCTAAGTTGTTCCGTATGTCAGAATACTAAGGAACCTAAACATCAAAGACCTTCTACAATCAAACGTCAGCTAGACTTCAACGACTGTATTGGGATAGATGGTGTTGTATACACGAATCTGGCAGGAACCAACTTCCACTTCTATCACATCATCGACTATGGAACAAACTACCAGGTAGCATGTGCAAGCCCAGGTAAAAGCAGTGATGATGCAATAGACAAGGTGCTCAATGGATGGCTCCAATGGGCAGGGGCTCCGATTGAGATTCACACAGACTCAGGGACGGAATTCACATCCAAGGAATTTGTCACTTTTCTAGGCCAGTTCAACATCAAAGCAATAGTTACCCCACCAGGTGCACACTGGCAAATCGGAAAAGTAGAAAGACATGGTGGAATCCTACAGGAAATGCTCAAGAAGTATGAACAGGAACATCCAATAACGTCATACACCAACCTGCAGACAGCACTATCGCACTGCACTTCTGCCAAGAATGCACTGAGCCAGAAACAGGGATACTCCCCAGAAACTCTTGTTTTTGGAAAAGGGCCCAGAATTCCAGCATCAATCTCATCGGACGAGCAATTGCCATCGCACCTCCTGGCAGACGATGACACCCAGGAAGGAATCAGATTTTGAGAAAAGCTGGCATACCGCGAAGCTGCACGACGAGCTTTTCACTGTGCAGACAACAGCTCTGCGTTGCGAAGAGCTGTTCTCCGGCGAAGCTGTCCTCACCGAGGATCCTATGACAGGGGAACTTGGGTGATGCTATGGAGACAGACTCCAACCCAACGGGGGTGGTTTGGTCCAGCCAGAGTCATCCAACAAGAAGGTCCCCATTGTCTTTGGTGTAATCACGCAGGAAGCTTGGTAAAGATAGCCCCTGAACATGTTCGACCCGTAAGTGCCATGGAAGCCCAGCATATCCCCCGAGCTCTAAGTCCGATCGCAGGGATTGAAGGCGAAGATACACAAAATGCCAACATTCGTGAACAAGCACCCGCAACTCCACCAGAGAGCCAAGAAGATAGCAATATAATCCCGCAACACGTAGGAACAGGAAACACATCGAATTCGTCAGAGGTCCAGCCAGATCAAGAGCCCTCGATTCCAGAGAGTCAAGTGTCTCCAGCGAGCCGACAAAGCATCGAAGTGCCGAGTGACCCCGGCGGTCATCAGGATGCAGCAAGTGTGCCGGTCCCAAGCGAAGCATCCGATCTCAGTGATGAACTCGTATGTGACTCCCTATTAAGTGTAGAAGATCAGGTCAACTGGTGCCAAACCCAAATAGACTCAGAAGCCGTAGGATGGAAAGCTGAATTCCTGTTTCCCCAAGAAACAATGATGAAATGGGATGAAAACTCACCAGCAACAGATCTTATCATGATGACTACCACCACCAAGCGTGACCGAACAGAAGTAAAGATGCACCAATTGTCCACCGAAGAACAAGCTCTCTTCCGTCAAGCAAAGGACAAGGAGATCACAAATTGGTTAAACACAGGGACGGTGAGTAAAATCTTTCGGGATCAGCTGTGTCCGGAACAGGTAATGCGTTGCCGCTGGATATGCGTATGGAAACCCCTTGATGCTGACGACCTTCAATCCGGATCAACTGAGAACGTCAGACCAGGACCAAAGACCCATAAACCGAAAGCACGTCTAGTAGTCCTTGGATATCAAGATCCCCAGTTAGACAGCATACCCCGGGACTCGCCGACACTTGGAAAGCAATCCAAAATGCTCTTGTTGCAAGCAATATCATCCATGGGATGGACTCTGAAAAGCTTCGATATCAAAGCTGCATTTTTGCAAGGCAAAACGCAGGAAGATCGAATTCTAGGCCTGGAACCTGTTGAAGAACTTCGAAAGGCATTGAAACTTCAACCCAATCAAATCTGCAAACTCGAAAAATCAGCCTACGGTTTGATCGATGCTCCTTATTTGTGGCATAAGGAATTGGATCGGACCCTTCGTGATTTGAACTTCATTCCAGCACCCTTCGACCCATGCGCATACGTACTATACAAACCAGGACAAAGCAAAATTTCGGGGGTCCTAGGAGTTCACGTTGACGATGGACTAGGTGGAGGAGATCAATACTTTGAAGAACAAATCTCAAAGCCAGAAGCCAAATTCCCATTTGGATCAAAGAAAGTAGGTCAATTCACGTTCACTGGTGTTGAGATGAACCAACAGGCAGACAAAAGTATCATCATGTCCCAATCCAAGTATGTAAGCAAGATTGAGCCAATCCACATGAATGCAAGCAGACGAACATGTCTGAGGGATGAAGTGACCTCCGAAGAGAGACACTCGCTCCGTGCACTTGTGGGAAGTCTTCAGTACGCGAGCATCAACACGAGACCGGCTCTTTCAAGTCGACTAAGCTACATCCAAAGTGAGATCAACAAAGCCACGGTCCAAACGTTGCACGATGCCAACCGTGTACTTCATGAAGCAAAACGATACAAAGACACATGCGTCAGAATCCAACCCATCCCAACCAAGGATCTCAGATTCTTGTTATTCTCGGACGCATCATTTGCGTCGGCCAAGAGCCCAGAAAGTTACACAGGCATGATCATCTTGGCCACCCATAGGGATATAAGTGAGAACTATCAATGCCCAGTCAGCCCGTTGACCTGGGGTTGCCGCAAGATGCAGAAAGTAGTTACGAGTACTTTGTCAGCCGAAACAACTTCGCTCCAAACAAGCTTTGACCAGCTATCTTGGATGAGACTCTATTGGGCATGGATCCAAAATCCCCAAGTCAATTGGAAACGACCACATGAGGTTTTTAAGAGTGAACCCAAACCAATCCAATCTACCACAGCCTTAGCCCAGTGTTTGCCACGATCAGTAGCTGTCACAGATTGCAAATCTTTGTATGATTTGGTTACCCGAACTGCTCAACCAAATTGCCAGGAATTCCGTACGCAACTTCAAGCAAAGGCGATAAAAGATTTGCTATCCGAAGGCGTTCAATCAAGATGGGTTCATACAGGAGCTCAGCTCGCTGATGCACTAACTAAGGTGATGCAAGGAACTTTCTTCCGATACACTTTGCAACGAGGCATGTATCAACTAAATGACGAACTGCAAGTGCTGAAAGAGCGAGCTGACAGCAGAACACGCCTTAGGTGGCTTGAGTCCGGGATCCCTCTAATGGGAGACCAGCAGCAAGAAGGATGATCGACGCACAACCAAAGAAAAAGATTGATAGAATTTTTGATGAGTGTGAATTTCGAACCTTTCGGTCACTGAGGAACCAGTGTTGACCCACTCAGGTGTGTTCACGTCCGAAGCCACGAGTGTGCGAGGCCGCAAGGGTGGTGTAGGGTGGGTCACCCGTGACCTGAGCCATAGAAGCAGTGAGGACACTGCAGGGCGAGGCGCCCGACCGTTCGTACCAACCTTCAGGTGAGCTGTGAGTGGAAAACGCACGCGGCTGTGCGAGGGGAGGAGGATCTTTTGTTGCTACCTTTGTGTCAATATATATATATATATTGCGCATATATATATATACATATTACGAAAGCCAGCCGATAGTCCGATAGGCTAGGCTGGAGTTGTCGATGGGCGAACGAAGTGAGTATTAGGGGGTGTGGGGGGTGGTTGCATAGGGGAACAATTTGGGTGCGAGCCCAGAGGGGGTGTTGTGATGCAAGCGATGTAATTGCCGCCGAAGAGTGCATCAAGCTCAGGAGGCTATTTAAACAGTCTTCGACCAGGGGTGGGAGTTCATGTCGAGGACAGGAAAGGGAGGACAACGGGACGTGAAAAGATGCGCGTTTCCCAACACTGTGTTTTGTGGCTAACATGAGTGGAACGGGCTGCAAGAAAGGGTGCAACCCGTTGAGGACAGGAGAGGGAGCAGAATCGGCAAGCTTGGTGCCCTTTTTAATGGTGAAAAGGCCTGTTAACCAGACGCAAAAGGGCACCCCATACAGGGTGGGAGTTTATGTGGAGGACAGGCATAGCGGGGGAGGACGTGATAGGAAAAGAGGTGGGGAGGTCAAGTAGGAAGCGCGAAGTGCGTCGCTCAGCGCTCTGTCTTCTCGTGGGTAAGAGGAGCAGGGAGAACGTGACCTCTGGAGGATAGGAGGGGGGGACAACGTGATAGGACGGAAATACAGCATGCATCTCTCAATCATCACTTTCTGGTGGCCAATAAGAGTGGAAGGGAACGTCAAAAAGGATAACGTTGAGGACAGGAGAGGGAACAGAATGCAGTCCGTGACAAGCAAGCACGCCGATGGTCCGTGGAGCAAGCTTGGTGTTGCTTGGGGGCGCCCCTTGTTGTGGTGAAGAGGGCTGTTAACAGGATGCAGATGGAAAGGGGGGGATGCCGTGGCGGGAGTAGCTCAAGTATGTATGTATGTATGTATGTATGTATGTACGTATGTATGTATGTATGTATGGGCGCATGCATGCTTGAGCACTCCCTACACAATTCTAATTGTGTGACTATCTATTTTCAGCCTCTTGCAAGTAAAGCAAACATGAAGCAAAGACAAAGATCACACCGCTTAATGAAGATTTGTTCCCGCAAAGAGTTTGCACTTGAGCGAGTTGACAGTCAGGCTTGGACAAAGTGGCAAGCTGGCCAGAGTCCCCAGTTGGTGGAACCGTTGAACCGAGACTCCAAACTCATTCTACTAGCTTTTTGCTCCTACTAGTAAGGCGCCTTGCTACTAATAGTTTTTTGCTACCAGCAGCAAGGTGCCTTGATACAAATCGTTTTTCTTAACAGGCTAGTAAGAAACATGAATTATGTTGCGTTCTAGGTAGTAAAGTAGTAACTTACTCGAGCTATTAGCCACCCCTCATGGCCTCCCCGAGCATTTAGAGATGCCGCAGTGAGGTTCGGGATTTCTGCAGCTTTGCTGCTCCAGGCTGGTTTGACTTGCGCTGCAGATAGTTCAGCCGCGAATCTTCGACCTGAGGTTCCGATCAACACGAGGTTCGAAAAAACTTTGTTTGTTTTACTTGTGTATTTCTTTTTGGTTTTGCTTTGCTTTGCTTTCGGACTGACCGCGTTGCACCAGACCGGGTTGCACCAGAAACTGAAGCCAGGAGCCACAGCAACAGACTCATTCACAGGCAGGGCTTTCTGCCGAACGGAGACTTCATGTTGAACAGATCATTTTTGCATTTTTTCTTAAAACAATCACATTATAAACATATACTGTATATATATATATATATTTGGAAACAACAAGGGTCGCCAAGGTACTTCCGCCCGGCTACCCACGTCGCCAAGAGCGCCACGAGCGCGCGCGGAGGTTACCGTACAGTCGTGGCTCCCAGGCTGGAGACGCAAAGCATTCGCTTTCGTTTTTCTTTTTTCAAAACAGAACCTGACATGTTGAAAAAATCATTTCAAGGCGTTTCAACTCGCAACTATTTTTTTTCTCTCTCTCTCTCTCTTCTTTCCTTGTTTTCCCTTTTTTCCCCAAACAGTTTACTGTTAGGGGTTCTCAATGCTTTAAAGAATGGTCGCCTTGGTGCTGGATGGTCTGGTCGGGTTCCCGGCCGGCTTGTCTCCCACTTCCTTTTATTTGTCTCCCACTTCTTTTCATTTGTCTCCCAAGCTCGGTGCTTGTGGTCGGGTTCGCGGCTGGCTTGTCTCCCACTTCCTTTCATTTGTCTCCCACTTCTTTTCATTTGTCTCCCAG